GTTTGTGATTGGCCAAAGTATTGTCTTTTCCGATCAACAGTTTGTGATTGGCCAAAGTATTGTCTTAAGGTATTGTCTTTTCCGATCAACAGTTTGTGATTGGCCAAAGTATTGTCTTTTCCGATCAACAGTTTGTGATTGGCCAAATTATTGTCTTTTCCGATCAACAGTTTGTGATTGGCCAAAGTATTGTCTTTTCCGATTAACAGTTTGTGATTGGCCAAAGTATTGTCTTTTCCGATCAACAGTTTGTGATTGGCCAAAGTATTGATTTTTTTCTGATTAACAGTTTGTGATTTGCCAAAGTATTGTCTTTTCCGATCAACAGTTTGTGATTGGCCAAAGTATTGACTTTTCCGATCAGCAGTTTGTGATTGGCCAAAGTATTGTTTTTTTTTATTAACAGTTTGTGATTGGCCAAAGTATTGTCTTTTCCGATTAACAGTTTGTGATTGGCCAAAGCATTGTCTTTCTCGGTTTGTCATGTATTGGTCTACAATGTACGATTTTTAGTTGGCAATGTATTTGTCCTTTATTTTTTACGGTTTCTAATTTTCCTTCGATCTATGATTTCGGATTGGACATATCATCTTCTTGCATTAATTCACAGTTTTTCATTTACAATGATGGTGTCTTGCTTTCATTTACCTGTTCTGTTTGACACATAAATATTTGTTTCATTGATTCCCGTTCTATGTTCACTGCTTTTTTGACTTACACATAAAATCTCCCTTTTTAATGATAACCTACTTGTACATTATATCTAAAGTTGGTATAGCGACATTGATTATCTAAATAATACCTATATTGTATTATATACAAACACTACATTTCCAAGGCCACAAGTCGACAATCAATCAATCATAACTTCACACTATACTTTCATGACATAAAAGATGTTCAATGACAATGTAAGACGTTTACCACTTTAACTTTTAAAATGAATAACAACAACAAAATTACATAACTCCACACAAATCTTTTTAAAGCTTTGTAAACTATATAAGTATGTTACACGTAATATTTGGTAACTCTTCATCGTATCTCTGTGGGAATCTTTGAAATTGAAAAAAAACATGGGAGGATTCGAAAGTTCTCGAGCATGCATAGAAAATTACCGAAGTCACAGATTTAGGCATTGTCAAACATCTAACAGCTTAGAACAGGCATATCACAAGCAACATGCAAAAACCAAAACATCGGGTACATGTAAATAAAAACATGAAGTTAAATGAACTCCCATAGAAACCAGTATTTATGGCAGAGAGATTAAGCTTATCCTGCACAAAAGGCTCTCATAGAAACCAGGATTTATGGCAGAGGGAGTAAGCGTATTCTTCTCCAAATGCTCTCTAAGAAACCAAAATTTATGGCTGAAAGAGTAAGCTTATTCTGTGCCAAATGCTCTCTAAAAAACAGGATTTATGGCAGAGAGAGAAAGCTTATCCTGCGCTAATTACTCTCATAGAAAAAAGGATTTATGACAGAAAGAGTAAAACTTATTCTGCGCCAAATGCTCTCATGGAAACCAGGATTTATGTAAGAGAGAGTAAGCTTATTCTGCGCCAAATGCTCTCATAGAATCCAGGATTTATGGCAGATAGAGTATATAAGCTTATTCTGCGCCAAATGCTCTCATAGAAATCAGGATTTATGGCAGAGAGAGTAAGCTTATTCTGCGCCAAATGCTCTTATAGAAACCAAGATTTATGATAGAGATTAAGGTTATTTCTGCACCAACAAATGCAACATAAAACGGCGGAAGAATGCATATGATATCCTTTGTGTTTTATGACTGAAATTGAAGAGTTTGTTCAAGACATTGCGATCAAAGAAAATGCATTAAACCTCCACTCAACAGCCGAAAAGAAAAGATCTAGATGTCATTATAAATGTCAGAATAAATTTCAATTTGAAAAAATAATGGTCTTCATCAAACCTGTACTTGTTTGAATAAATACAAAAGTATGTGGAATTAAAATTCTCTTCAAGAATGTAACACTGAGTTGATCTCTTAAGTCATATTTTCCAGAAGCATTATTGCTTTGTTTCGTTCTTACTAGAATACGGTATACCATGCCTTTAAATGTATGTTTTTTTTTATTAATGTATGTTTAACAAACAATCTTTAAGAACTTCATTTGCATAAAGGTGTCAGACCACCAATTCAAAATCCCTATCTATTCAACCATTTTTTTTCAATTTCCACAGCTTTCGAAATATTTTACCATAAGTTAAACTTCATAGAAACTAGGTTAATCCTGACCTTTCTATATGCCAATTTTCAACCAATGTTTAAAGTCTTGTACTGAAAAATTACCGTTCGGAAGGCAAATACTACTAAAAATAACCCCTGCTTTTCTGGAAATCTTAAATAAGTATACTATGGAACGCATGAATCCTCAATTTTTAATGCAAAATCATGGACAAGTAAATTTTTGCTCAAAATGGTATAAAAATATTTCTCTTTCACCAAAAGTTTCATTTCTGTAAATTTGTTGGTTGGTTTAAGTAAACAATGACATCAAAAGAACTATTTTTTGTCAGGGAAGGGTAATTTTACATACTTTCTAAATTGGAGTGGGTTAATTGGTGGTCTGACACCTAAACGTCAAGATGAAACGAGAAAGCATCCTGATGATATATTACATACATAAGCAATCAATATCAATCGCAAGCCAAACCAACACGATTTTCACTCTTAATTTTAAATCGTATATATCCCATTGAAATGGAAGCTATAGATGTATGCAACTATTGGCTTTCGTATTATCTAAGTTTCTCCATGACAAATAATACAGAAATATATGGAATAATTGTGTTGACGTTTGCATTCATTGGAATCATCTTGATTCTGTTGTTTGTAATGCTAATTTCTGGAAGTATTAACACGATTTTCTCTTTAGTAATGATTGTTCACTGATTAAAGTGATCGGTGACGTTAGCAAGTACTTAACACTGAATTAAATGCATGTTAGTCATTTTCTTAAAATCTGACTTGACATTCTTATATTCAATTGACGTTATAGTAATGAAGCATTACCATGACATCGCTACATGCATTATACTATTATCGGTCTAGTACAAAGCAGAACTAATGTTTATATCACATTGACATGTTCTTGTCCTGATGATATGAATGTAATACTTTCAATGGACGTTAAACATCAGTCCATCTAGTTGTGCATTTGTTATTTAAAGTTGTCTAATGTAAATTAAACCCTGTATCCATTTTCACTCCCAGTGCCAAATATAACAAATAATACGTTTGACGGATAGTTTACTGTGTTTAACTTAAAGATATCTTCTTACTTGTCAGGGACAGGAAGGAATAAAAGTGTTTTTTGTATTAGATATATGTGATAGAGATGAGCGTCCTTGGTTAATATTACATAGTAAGATTATTTACGAGTTAGTGCATGTTCATTGGTGCATTAACTCCTTAGAAACAGACGATAGTTTGTTTCGTTTGCTTTTAGGCGATTACAAACTTTCAACCTTCTTTAACAAGTTCTAAAAAATATTTAAAGCGGAACATGCTCATCAGTTTTTCACGAAACATGCTCTTCAGTTCATCACGAAACATGCTCATCATTTTATCACGTAACAAATAATGATCAATTTTCTCATCAAACCGTCTTTCAAGCCAATCTATGTAGTAAACCACTTCGAAATAAACCTGTGATAAAATTTTCCGGCAACCATTACTGAGTTAATTTATAGTCATGTGTTTTGTCAAGCAATGGTGAATAAGTCTAGGGTAATCTTTTTGGTGGACACGCATAAAATGAATATGAGGTCATTTATATTGTCTACAAGCACAGAGTAAATCTGTGATCATATCTCAAGTAAAACAAATAAAAAATGTGATTTTTAAGTAAATAAACATGTTTAGTCAAGCAGTATTTCATTAATCTGTGATCATATGTTCAAAATTAGTCAACCAATACTGTCATAATGTAATGTTTAGTCAACCAATACTGTCATATGTTTAGTCAACCAATAATATCATATATATATTTAGTCACCAATATGGCATGTGTTTGGTCAACCAATACTGTCATATGTTTAGTCAACCTATAATGTCATATATTTAGTCACCAATAAGGCTTATGTTTGGTCAACCAATACTGTCATATGTTGACCAAACCAAATTAATGTCACATGTTTAGTCAACTAAGTCATATGTTTAGTCAACTAAGTCATATGTTTAGTCAACCAATAATGTCATATGTTTAATCAACTAATATTGTCATATGTTTGGTCAACCGAATATTAATAAATATTTCATCATATGTTTTTGTCTACCAATACTTAATAAATATGTGATCATAATGTTTTAGTCAACCAATAATACATAAATCTACGACTATTTGCTTGTTCAACTTACACAGATCGTTTGCTATTTGAATAAGCAATATGTTGGTTTTTCAATTTGCCTGTAGGTAGCGTCATAAATCAGAAAAAAAGTTTCACTTTTGTTGCATCTGATTTGCTTTGTTTGCTTGGTTGTTGATGTATTGAAATACATGTAAACAATTATCATGGAAGTCATGTATGTATTGTAATGAATAATATATAGACGCACAGTAAGTTTTTTAGGAAATCAAAAAATCATACATAAATGATATAGAGAGATGCATATTTTGAATATGCATTGGACTATAACTAATTCCTACTCTCCAATATGTACTAAACACACACTGGCTTCGTGCCATATTCTTTCTATGAGATTAATATTACCGCATGAAATATGAATTCGTTTAGTTTATTTTACGCGTCAACGTTATTGTAATTTGAAATGAAATCTCTATGCCACAAACAGAGACCGTCTGTATCAAGGTTTTAATCGATGATTATTAATTCCCTCTATATAATAATATTTATCTAAATACATCTAGATTTCATGAATTTCACAGATTAAAATCTTTGAGTTGTAATCAAACACTAATTGTTAATTGAAATCTACACGTTAATTTCGTTCCGGATCGACAAACGATAAAGAATATACCGGTCGAAACGCCATCTCTCATAGATGGTCAAAATGATTATTTCAAAATAAATGGTGGATATTTATTTGTTTAATGCTTCCACGTTACTATAAAGTTGTATTTTGAAGAAGTAACGGTTGAATGTACAATTCAAATAACCACTGCTGGTCTTGTTCAATTGAAATTGGATAATCCTAAAGACTGGAGATACTATCACCAATACGGTAGGAATTGTTGTTGTCTTTATCATAAAGGGTAAGAGTTACTGACATCAGGATTTTTTGATTTTTTTGTTTTGTAAAGTTTTGTTGTTTTTTTTTAAAGTTTTTTGAGGGGGCTATTTTGTTATTTAATTGTTAACTAAGAATACTTTGGATAGCACTGGGCCAGTATTGATCTTCGATAATTGAAGCACTGAGTTGACCTATCTGTTTTTGTAAATATTCTCTAAACGTTCACTCTTTCGACGCCAGTGTCATATACACGTTAAAAAGCAGTGGAGGTACCAAACATGAGAAGACGTCATTGAAAAGAACTGTGTTGAAAGCAGCAGAGGTACCAAATATGAGTATACTTCATTGAAGAGGACTGTTTTAAAAGCAGTGGAGGTACCAAATATGAGTACACGTCATTGAAAATAACTGTTTTAAAAGCAGGTGATGTACCAAACATGAGTAGAGGTCATTGAAAAGAACTGTTTTGAAAGCGGTACAGGTACCAAACACGAGAAGACATCAATCATGAAAGAACTGTTTTAAAAGCAGTGGAGGTACCAAACCTGAATACACGTCATTAAAAAGGACTGTTTTAAAGGCGGTGAAGCTACAAAATATGAGTACACGTCATTGAAAAGAACTGTTTTGAAAGCAGTAGAGGTACCAAACACGAGAAGACATCAATCATGAAAGAACTGTTTTAAAAGCAGAGGAGGTACCAAACCTGAGTACACGTTTAAAAGGACTGTTTTAAAGGCGGTGAAGCTACCAAATATGAGTACACGTCATTGAAAAGAACTATTTTGAAAGCAGTAGAGGTACCAAATATGAGTACCGTCATTGAAAAGAACTGTTTCAATAGCAGTGGAGGTACCAAACCTGAGTAGAAGTAATTGAAAAGGACTGGTTTGAAGGCGATGAAGCTACCAAATATGAGTATATGTCATTGAAAAGAACTGTTTTATAACACTATTTTTTTCTGTACGTATTCAAAGTTTGAAGAGTAGTGACAGAGTATTTATGAAGTTAATTCCCAAAACTGTTAAGGTCGCAGGGGTTATGCTATTTATGATTTTTTGTTACGTAACACACTTTTACAATGTAACCGTTTATTTACCTTTTTGGTGTATTCATAACTGAAATCTTACTTTATATACAGACAGAATCTTACACCTATATATCTATATAATAAATAAATAAATCCGTTTTTATTTTTCTAAAGTGAAAATAAGCTGATTGATATGTTAATTTACTGAGCCAAAGAACTGCTAAAAAGAATCAAACTGGGTGTATTCTTTAAATGGAGGTATACATCTTTAGATCTAATATTTTTTTAAACTTTATTGCCGTGTTAAAAAAAACCCAGAATGTTTACATGTCAATAGGTCAAAGGTAAAGGTTACATTAGCAATTAATTGACTGAAAGTGGTACAAAAACATTTTTTTTGTCAGTAGGACAAAAGTCAAGGTCACAGATCCTTTGAATAGACTGACATTTTGAGACAATATCTTTTGAACCATAAATCAGATCTTTACCTATCTTTGATTGATATTGCACTTTGAAGTTTAACTGGTGTCTTTTTATTTTAGGTTAAGGACTTAGTTTATAGAAGCAATTAGCATATTGAAATTGGGCAAGTCCTCCCTTTAATCACGCATACACACAAAAGTTTGACGGTTATTGCCAGTTATTAGCAGTCTGCAATATACTCCACACAAAATCTGCTTCTTCAGCTACAAATCCAGAGTGATCGCATTTCAGCTTATGCATCATTGGTGCTTCTGTTATTCTATAACTGATGTTGTGCCTTTTGCTTAAAGATAAAATGACCGAGAACTTTTTAGAAGAAATGTGACTGCCATGCAGTGAAATCCGTGTCAATGCTTTTCTAGCAGATAAAGTATTTATAAATCATTAAATTTTAATTGTATTTCTATATTGGCTTTCGCTTTTGGAATTGGCATCGATTTATGGTGTGTAAATATGTGTTTTAACTGCTATCATTATTTCTTACTATTGATTTGTGAATGTCTATGTTACGGTTAGACCTAAACTTTGTTTTCATAGAATCTAATTTCCATATTAGGTTTACATCTTCGTTGTATTTGATTGAGCTTCATTGACAAACAATCAAACACTCGACAGCATATCTACGCCTAGGAAATAAATCTACGACATATCGTCAATTCTACAATGATTTGTTTCCTTAATACTTTTGAAAGTTAGAGGATTAAACAAATATCATCCGAATACCCTACAGTAAGTTCCTCTGACAATGTTATGTTTAGCGGAGTCCAGTCAAGTAACACAAAGAGCACGTAGTCACCAGTAACAAGATCTTATTCCCAGAAGAAGAAAAAAAGCAATTCAATTTGGTCTAGTGTATATTTGACATAAGACATATGAATAAAATTTGGTGTAGTATATAGTGGAAATAAGACCAATGTACAACATTTCTAAACTTAATGTCACAGCTCATATTCTCAAGAATGATTCAAAACTTTTTACGGTTTTTTTTTGTGTGACGAAGAAGTGGTATTGCTCATTCAAACATTATATATATTATCTGTCTTTCTTTTTTTTTTTTATCTCTAATTTCAACTTATACATGTATTATAAAATCCTATTGGTCATGAAATGATTTTTGTGATAAGTTAAGTAGGTACTACTTCTGGTTTGATTTCTTTATTGATTCTGTCAGGTAAATAGTTTTCATGTAAAAGAAAAGGCACTCGATTTCCTTAACAAAATAAAGACTAAACCAACACATAAATATTTACTTTACAATATGTGTCACCTTAAATTAATTGACTTTTATCGTCAGGTGTTACAAAAGGCACATTTTAAATGTAAGAATACTTGATGCACATTCCGTTACTTAGACTTGTATACGTTATACTCTTCAAGTATTGAATTGATTGTCTGTTGAAAGCTAATTATACAGGGTGGAAGTGTTTTATTGTAAATTTACAAATGGACCATATATTGTTATTTACATTACAAATGGAATTTTTAAAATATAATAATATTTAACCACTTACTTAAGTAAAAAATGGTGAACCTTGTCCTATGAAACCATTGTTTAGCTTAGCATTTTCAAAATTAAATATTGAAATTTAATTCAAGGTTGATATCATCTAATTCTTCCAGAAAAATTTCGTTATGATTTGTATTTGTGTTAGAGTGGAGACATATTTTTTTTTATACCAAAATGGTTTGTTTATTACAACTTTGGCAAAGCGTCTCCTGACACCAACGCATGGAATGAAACGTTCTACATAACCTTTTAATTTCTTTTAATCTGAAATCGTCGTCTTAGTAGAATTGTTTACGAGCAGAATATAAACCGTCATGCTGCTCTTGATAAATAAGAGTTAGGTGACAGTTTACATTCGGTGATAAGACTTGAAAGAAGAAAGGAGGACGGAATTGTGACTACGACAAATAGATATACTCTTAAGAATTGTTTTACATTTTGTCATGCCGGTACTTACTATATGGTATGGGTTTTTCTCATTGTTGAAGCACCCTTTACATGTTTACATCATCGTCCTTTGGTCTCTGATGCATTGCTGTCTTATTGGTAATCATACTTCATAGTATAATATAGTTTTGTTCAGGCAAATTCAAGCATATATATAAAAATTCACAAGACAAATAATATATATATATATAATCATATACTTTTAAAATAGTATCATAATATATTTTAAAAACAGTGCTTAGAAAGAAGCCTGGGATATCCCATAAAAGCTTACAAAGTATAGCTTATTTCCAATGGGGTCCCTTGTTTGAAAATATATAAAAATCAAATTTCAAATTATATGTTAAAAATTTGACTTTCACCAAAAAAAAAAAGAAAGATTAATTGTTTCTTAAAAACATATAAAAAATCTCCAGTTTCTATATTTCTTGCTGTTATTTTTAATTGTTCTTTAACTGCAGTCTTAAAAGCAGATCTATTTGATATATTTTTTATGTTGGCTGGTAGATTGTTCCAGTCTTGTGTCGCATTATAGACAAAGCTGTTTTTATTACAGTTCATCTCTTTATTTACAACAAAAGTCATTCTTTGCAATTGATAAACCGCAAATAAGACAGTAATCAATGACATAACAACTTCCAAGACATGTAGAAGTCAATACCCTGAATGTTGACTGGGGTATAGAAATATTTACACCCGGACTTCTCCTGTCTGACTGTTAGCAGAGGAACGCTATATATATTTGAGATCTTTGAGACAGTCAAAGTATAATTATCAGTCAAATCACAGAGACAAACAACTGTTGTGTACACGAATGATTGTACACTATAAACACTACACGTTGGTCGAGATGTTTATCCAATTGTACCTCTGTGCTTAATTTCAGAAATGCGCAAATAGTTCTATGTACTGACTCAAATAAAAATTATACATTCGTTACCTCATTTTAATAAATTTAGAAACGCAGACCATTCCGTTGAGAGTAAGAAGGAGGTTTAGTTAGCCTCAGGATCCATCCCATTACATTTTTCGTATATTAATTAGATGTAACCGATAAATTTTGAAAAATGCGAATGTAACCAATAATGATTTTGTTAGACATGTATTTCATTACATATTTTCTCTGAAGTACAAAAAAGTTATTTTACTACTTCGTATTAGACCATATATAAATAATGAAGTCAACAGATCGGAGTCTCGAAGAATCAAATGACACAAGTGAACTTTCCACGTGCTTGCCAGTAAAATAAAGTCCCTGCATCAATTGAACAGTATTGAATTACTTGTTTTACAAATAACGGAGTATTCATTGTTATACAAATAACGGAGTATTCATTGTTTTACAAATAACGGAGTATTCATTGTTATACAATTTCTTATATTCATCAACATACATGGGTTTTATATATCTATTGCACTGAAGGTGCATAATTGTTTTTAATAAATGTTTAATTCTGTCTTTTTCGTATTATTTTAACTACCAAATCGGCTGAAAAATGTGAAAAAATAACAACTTAAAATGTAAGACATAAAAGTACGATACATCTTATATATATCAGACATCAATTAATGTTTTATTGATGAACTTAGATCAACCATTACAATTCATATATTCATCAAATAACTGAACGTATCAAATACATCTTTCAGGTGCTGATTTAAAATGACGTCTACAATTGAATTCTAAATATCAATAAAATCAGTTTAACTTCAAGTATTCCGGAGCATCGATAAGTTAAACTTGTTGAAATGTCTCGTGGCCCTTTACTGACCTACCCTCTTGTTAAAAGCTATCCACGTTTTATCCATTTAAGTGTATTCATTTAAAATTTTTATGCATCCGTGCAATTTATATTTAAATAACTGGACTCCTGCCGAGGTATCAATTTTTGATTATTGATAATTTTGACTTTGTCATTGTATTTTGAAATATATAATTATTTATTTACATTTTTTATTCAAGTCACATAAAAGAAATTGTAAATACTAAATGTTGAATCTTTTCAATCAAACATATTTACGGAATCTACATATAAGCTACACTATAAGTATTAACTGTAATAAGAGGATTACCAAAGGTGTAATTCAAACGGTATTTGTGAGATGATGAAGTCAGAAGATCTCATAAGCTTCAGTCAAAATTTTTATTTGGGTGAAAAATTATTTTTGTAAAATATTTTTGATTTTATTGCATCTTTAGGTTGACTACTTTGCATTGACTAGACTATGCAGTTAGTTAATCGTACCTCTCGTCAATTGACTAGACTATGCAGTTAGTTAATGGTACTTCTCGTCAATTGACTAGACTATGCAGTTAGTTAATGGTACTTCTCGTCAATTGACTAGACTATGCAGTTAGTTAATCGTACTTCTCGTCAATTGTCTAGACTATGCAGTTAGTTAATCGTACGTCTCGTCACGTTATTTGTCTTGTTATTAACAGTTTTTACTTACTCACTTTAATATTCATGTTAACTTTATGTTCTTTCTATTTAATTGCTGTTGGGTTGATGTTTCCTTGACTATTACCATACCTCATGTTATCCCTATCTATTATTTTGACAAGTCTGATTTTGGTAATAGTTTCAATTTTTGCTCGAAAAAGTAGTCCGCATGTTCTGTTCAAAAGGTAACCAAATACCAACAGAGGGGGTGGGATTGGGGATGCACGGGGGCACAATAAAAACACAAGTCGAAAAATGGTATACAAAATCGGGGTTGAACTGTTGTAGGAACCTGTATTAATAATATTATTATTATCCTTATCAAAATAAGGAGATACGGTATGATTGTAAATGAGACGACACCCCATCGGAGCCCAAATAGTGTGGATTTAAGCAACTAAAGGCCACCGTACGGCCTTCAATAATGAGCAAAACCATACTGTTTAGTCAGCTATTAAAGGTTGCCGACATGACAAAATGTGAAACAATTCAAACGAAAAAACATACGACCTCTTAATTTTGTTACACTTTTGGTATTTAGCTGAATTTTGTCTCCGAATGACCCTTAGATCTGTCTCCGAATAACCTGACGTCAAGCAACAATCACTTTTTAATTATGACGTCAGATGTTTTAAATAGTGATGTCAAATTTTACGGGAACTTGTGTGATATTAAGTAATGGCGAACAAATTTGCATACAAATGTAAATACGTCTATTGTACGTTATGAGAAAGAAACTTGTCACTCCACACTTTTTGTAACTAATTCAGCATGTATTGTTCTTTATTTATAGAGACATACTGATATCTGACAGATTATTGTGTGGAGTCATACGTCATTAATTATACGTCAGAATGATGCGGGAGAAAACATAAAGATATGTCATCATCACCTGATCCAACGTCACCAGGAAAGCTTTCAACAGGATTAAGTCCTCACCTAAACCCTCGTTTTTCTCGTATAAAACAAGATTATCATAAACGACTTTTTAATTATGAAAAGGAATTTAATTTAAAAACTTCTAAATCGACACACAGAGAAAAGGCGCTACGTGAATCAATGCTTGCATATACAGAGCGCATACGAAACATTTCGAATTCACGGAACAAATATGATGGCGACGAAAGCGACAACGAAGATAATATACCTCTGGTTGTCACAGCAAAACATATTCCTAAGTTTCCAATTAAACGTACCATTCCAAGACGTCCAGCATCTTTAGACGAACTGATCGGTAAAAGCAGTCTGGTAAAACAAGAAAGAGAACGATTATTGAAACGTCCAAAATCAGCATCACGTGTCTCTACACGTCTGCCACTTCCTTCTCTATCGGAGAGATTAAATGGCCGCTCACATCGTGTCAAAATTAGTTTCGTCAGTGCATCAGATTTATATGATTTCGTCGATTACAGCTTACGAAATCGAGGGACTAAAAAAGAAACATTACAATTTCTTCAAATGGAAAAAGATATTTTAACAAAGAAAGCCCACGAAAATCACAAACGTCCCGCGGCTGCTCAACCTCGACTAAATGAATTGTCTGCCAAATCCAAAAATGAAGGAAATGTGAATTCTTTTTCAATGTTACCGCCGATAGATTCTAAAGAATCCGTTCAAAAACCAAAAAATGTACACACTGAATCTGTACACGAACAAAGTGAAATATTACCGCTTGATAATATTGTGAAAGAAGAACCAATTAATAACACAGAGGAGAGTGGTAGAAAATCACCAGTAGTTCCTCTCAAAATACGTCCTAACCGTGCTAAACGTATGAAAATACGACAGCCTGATTTAGGTGCTATTCCTGAAAATGACGTTTCGTCACATCGAAATTCAGCCACACCTGAAAGGTCTATTGTTTCCCCGCCACCTAAAATGTCTCCTAGAAATGTTGTTAACCTGGACTCAAATTTAGTTTCAATTCCAGAAAATGAAAACATTAATGACAGTGGATTTTCTGCTAGGAGAAAAGTTTCAAGACTAAGTCATCGAAAGATAGAAATTAACCGAAACGGTCCATTGTGGAAATCAGATAGTTTACTAACTAATGAAAAACGCATAATAGATATCGATGATCTGGATTTAAACGCAACTTCTAATAAATTAAAAGCACAGAAGAAGTTTAAGAAATTAATATTCTTGCGAGATATTCCAGACAGAAAATAGTGCAATATTATTGTTATTTTGTAGCATTACAGACTTGTGTCTTTTCCAAAATTCTTACATATTTCGTTTAATTATATTTGTTGAACAATCACTGGTTTATTTAATTTTATTAATTTTTCTTCAAAATAGTACATAACTGTGTCGCTGTATTACTTGACTGTTTTACATGTTATGTGTGTATTGTTGATATTTCTTGTCTGTATCTTCGTCCTAAACATGGAATAGTTATGTCACTAGACGTTAAAAACCAACCATGAATCAATTTATGCGCATTTCTTATCATGTACTTGTTTTCGTTTTCAATTGCAACGTTCAAAGTTTGTTCGGTAAACTTGCTTAGAAAGCAAAAGATCAGGTTAATAGAATCTATAAAAAGCCCGATTTGTAAGATCAACAAATCAAACGTGATTGGGATGTCATGACAAAAATCCACTTAAATACATATGACATATGTCAGACAGACCTCTAACCTTGACCATTGGAGCACAAAAACCAGGTCATTGTATGACAAATCCATACATCGTTGACCAAATACAGATTGCCAATTTGGTATTTAAAAAAATTACAATGTAACGTGTGTCTGTTTTCCTGAAATCAGTACGATATTTAGTAGACCTTTGAAATGCGTTATTTTACATATAATCATTATCATACACAATTCTTTCTCAATAAATAAGTCACGCTTTACGCCAATGCATTATTTTTGCATTTTTCACCTTTAACAATTACATAAAAGAACATTTTTAATGACGGCAACTTCCTGTAAATTCTGTGATAATTACAACATTAAACAGTGCCAATTTTAAACAAAACCACTAAATATAAACCTACTAATTGATATAAAAATCCAATCACATTCTATTGCAATTATGTGGTGAATACTAAGCAAAGTAAGGACTATTGTCGCATAATATCAACCACGAAGAATTAATTGTCCATTTCCATGTTTGACTATTTTTATGTATATTGCCTTCACATGCTTTACGTAAAGCAGAATAAATTCAATGATAGATCCCGTATAATAATAGGGAGATGTGGTATGACTTCTGATGAGACAACTTTCAAACATAAAACAATGGACAAGGATGCAAAAAAACTACAGACTGCTGTATGACTTCAACAATGAGCAAAACTCGTATGACATAGTAAGCTATAAAAAAAAAGCAACAAAATGAGAAAAAAATTAAAAAGAGAAAACTATAACAGCCAGATTAAAGCTTATAAAATTAAACGAAAAAACACGTCCATTTTTGTCGAGCTTTCGAAATTTATTTCGCGAAAGCGAGACATAGCGATCCTAGATTCCGGCGTCGGCGTCGGAGGCGTCAACATTTATGTTCAGTCTGTGGTTAAAGTTTTTTTTTTTTTGGACATCAATAACTTTGTCCAACATAGATGGAATTTTATGAAATTGGGACAGAAGCTTCTTTATGACCAAAATACAGTATCCAGGGCAAAATTTTGAAAATATTTATTTTCATTTTTCCGTATTTTACTAATAAATGGACTTAATTACAGTTAACTTCAGATTTTGTCTGAGGTTAGAGTTTTTCAGTCATCAATAACTTTGTCAAACTTTCATGGAATTTTATAAAATTTGGACAGAAGCTTGTTTATGACCAAAAGACAGTATCCAGAGTAAAACTTTGCAAATATTTATTTTCATTTTTCGGTATTTTACTGATAAATGGACTTAATTTTTTTACAGTTAACACTCAGGCTCAGTCTGAAGTTAAAGTTTTTCAGTCATCAATAACTTTGTCAAAGTTTCATGGAAATTTATGAAATTTGGACAGAAGCTTGTTATGATCAAAATATAGTATCTAGAGCAAAATTTTGGAAATATTTATTTTCATTTTCCCGTATTTCACTGATAAATGAACTTATTTTTTTTTACATGCAGTTAACAAGTAGATACAGTCTGGGGTTAAAGTTTGTTACACATCAAATACTTTTTCGAACCTTCATAGAGTTTTATGAAACTTTGGCAGTAGCTTTTTAAGCTAATTAGTGGATTTAAGATAATTGAACAAATACTAGATAGTTAATACAGAATGAAATGTCCACATGTTATCCATTTGTAATGTTTATGTACAGCATGTACACCTGAAAAAATTTATTTCAGTAGGCATAACATAAAAAATAAAATCTTAAACAATTTTAAAGGCATACATAGTTTTGACTTAATTGGTAAAAAATGTTTTGTTTCATAACCATGAGTATGAATTCGAAATTTAAAGAGGAATCAAAGAAATTTGTACTTTGAACATAACAAGATTCACTTCCTGTTTTAATACTTCTTGTATTTTATAATCCTCCTGACATAAGAGCACTCAACAAATTTATTTTTAACAATGATGGAGAAAAAAGTAACTGTTTATACCTTCTGCAATATATTATTGCATCAATATAAAATATGATCATCTCCTGTCTCACCAGTTATATTTATAAAACTCCTTACTGAGGAGCACTTTGGTGTGCACTTAAAAATACTTTTTTGTAACAATTCAAATGATAATAAATAACTCTCAACAACATATATACTATATGTTTGAACAAGTTGTTTAAATGTAGATAATTTAATTATATTCAACATTCAATTTTGCATGTATAACTCCATCTTTCAAAACAACTTGTTTATTTTGGTATAAGTTATAAAACATTGAAATTTCTGATGATTATTTTCCATACCAAATGTACAAGTTTGTTTAGATTAACATCAAAATGATATGCTTTGCTTCATGGTATGATAATTTATTGAAAAAAATTCTTACTGGAACCAACATCAAGAACACATTATTAATTTCTGAATATGGTTTAAATACAACTAATGTTCTCCAGCTGAGCCTAGCAATATTCAAGGTAATTTATACACTGTCCAACATTGCCCTTAAAATCTGGGTTATAACGCTAAAGTGCCCTTTCAGACAACTAGCACCCTTCTGCCCTGAGATTCAAGCTGGAACACTGTTAACGATTAAGAGATAATGTCTGAAGCAAACCTTTGAAAATATATTTTTTTCATTTTTAGTATTTTTCTGATAGATGGACTTCATTTGTTACAGTTAAAATGTAAAGACCGTCTGGGATAAAAAAAATTACATTATAAATTTGTAAACCTTCATGGATTGTTATAAAACTTGTACAGAAGTTCATCTTCAAGACCAAAAAAATAGCACCTAAAGAAAAAGATTGAATTTTTTTTTTAAATTTTGTATTTTACTGATAAATGGACTCACTTTTTAAGTCAACATTACACTTTAACACTGACAGCAGCAATCGCAGGCGAGACACAGGATTCCGCGGAACCCCTTATGATTTTTTTCTTGGTATCATAGATAACAAAAACAAAAAATAATCAAAATATTATAGCCTAATAAAGGCATAAAGAATGCCCGCAGTTACTTGAAGTAAGCTCAAAGTACTTACCCTGCTGATATGACATCTTGCCTCCTAAAGGTGTACCTGTTTTGATTTTTTTTAAGATCGCCTCGTTCTAAAATAGATTGTCACACAATCTTGAATAGTACACTTCTAAAAAATACACTCAAACGGTTGGGGGTTGTAAAAATTATGTGTCAACCTCTCCTTCCCCCCCCCCCCCCCCCAAAAAAAAATAAGTTAGGAAAAAATAACAAAATAACATATGAAAAAATAAGCCAGACAGAGACAATAAAACATTCAGACAGACACATCCGTACACAAGGACTAGATATATAAGACAAATATACAATTATATAGGTATAGAATATTAAAGAATGACAAATACAAGGGTAAAATGCCAATTCATTAGAACATCATAAAAGTCTAAAGTTCTGTAGTAACTTATGGATACCTAAAAAAAGTTGTTGAAATGCTTTAAAAAAACATGTTGCATACAGATTTTTATGTTGATGTTACATCTCCGGTAGTGAGTGACTTTTAATTTGTTCACAATATGTGACGACGTTATGATTTAGAGCTTGATTTGGACACTTGTCTCTTGTTGAGAACGTTATATTTAACATCACTGATTCTTGTTTATTCCCACTGCTAGAGAGTGTTAAGAGAGTCGATCAAATACACTCCGGCTTTTGTGTTTTCATTCAGCAGCAGTGACTTTATATAACGGTATCAGAATGTTGACTTAATACCCGGTATCGATCTTAGTATATTCCTTGTGATTCTCATAGTTTTATTGTTATTTACCTTGATTTGTATTTTCCTGGGGATTGATGAGATTTCAATATAGGTGCTTCTTGTAGATTATCAATGGTATTATATTTTGACTTTTTATTTAAAATTATTTTCATTATACAGGAATTAAAACATACATGCAAGTCATTTAGAAAATACTTACTCATAAACGATGAAGGTATCAAATTACAAATACGTGCTTACAGAGTCATTTATTATACTGAACAATCATGAACACTGTATCACATTTCAGATAATAATTGTTTAATAAGACCTTGTTTAGAATATTGAAAAAGTTACACAATAAAACAATGTAGATATTTCAGTGTGACTCGGTTTTTTAAAATATATCTCAGATGGGTCTTTGTAAATAGGAACAATTTGCAGCATTTGCATTTATCTCTCCAAAACAACGAAAAATAATTGAAAATGCATGACAAAAAAATTCCACTTATAGTTAATGCTAAACTTGTAAAGATTTTGATGAGCCCGAAGTGGTAATAATAATTTTTTAGTTCATACAATGTGGAATATTTAGTCTATTATGCTGTTCAGCCATGGTGGGGTAAAAAATTTAATATAGAAATAGAAGTAAAACATATACAACCAAAACTGGATTTTTTTAATTAAGAAACATATACATTTTAATGAGAGCTTACATTAAGAAATTGGAGACTATTGCTTTGCTTTTAACTAAAAGAAAACAAAATACTTAAATTACTTTTTAACTAGTCTCACTTAATATTGTATATATATATGTTGCTATCACTAATTGAGAATGTTCTTTCAATGATTTTGAGCCATTTATCACTGAAATTCAAATGAGTATATTAACAGCAATACCTGTGTACGCATTTATTGTCTTTAGTATGCCATTGTCGGATATAAAATCCTTGTTAAAGTTGCATAGTTTGA